GCAGTTTTGCCTAATTGTATTACGTGTGCACAACACAACTATGCAAATAATTCTGTTTTGAGTACGCTACAATGCTTATAGGTAGTAGTATTGCGTGAGCGCGGAAGATAAATCTGAAAATTCGTCACTTATAATATATTTAGGTATATATGGTTTATAAGCTTACTTAATACCTACATTAAAAACGATTATGTTTTGTACAAACTAAATTTTATTATTACATATAAAATACATACATATGTATAGGTACTGTGAGTAATGTTCTGGTTGCTGTGTACTCATACTTACACGTCTTTAGATAATGTTTTATTTGAGAAAAATTTTACTATAGCTATTACACTACACGTTTTGCAAGACTTTCGTAATCAGAATAATTGTAATGTTGAATTTATTATACTCATCGATTTATTGCAGTTGATTTCCGCAAGAAAGTCTAAGTGATAATCCTCGGGTGATCGTCCTGAATACTTTTTTCTAGAATGTTTATCAAATTACAAAAAAATCAATGGAATATAATAACATTTTTAACAGTGACAATATAATTCTCCTTACTCAACATTGAATAAACATATAATTTTGGCCGTATTTCATATTTGAAATGAACACCTATGTAGGATTTTGAAGTATGTTTTTTTCTCATCATACAATTTACAATTTTAAAATAAAACATCTTAACATTATTTATAAAATTCCTTATTTTGCTATGATGTTGAGGTTAACTTCAAATAATAAATAATAGATTTACGTTTAAACTATAAAGTTAATGCCATTATGTGTTTAACCTAACCGTACTCACAATGCGTGTGTATACTTAAGATGAGTGTAATATATACCTACGTAGTAGACGAGAAAGGTAAATATAATTAAATAAATATTAGCATTTAAATTCAAGTATAATATACGAGTAGTGCCTGCTTTGTATTAAAAATACATTTAGAATAATTTTTTTTAAATATATTTCAACTACATATTTTTATTTTTTTGCATAGGAATAGTGGATCCTGACAATTTAAAGAGTGCTGTGGGCATGCAGTGAAGTATTGAGATAAACCGGTTTATTGCTAGATTTAAGTTCATGGTGTTTAGTTTTATATTATATTTTATCAGTAACCTTAGGCATATCAGGTCTGCAGTGAATCAACACGTATTATATAGCTGTTCGTTACATTAGTATGTTGAATTTAAATTTTATTGTAATCGTATAGCGAAACATCGACGCAAATTCAATATTCCTGTCGGAGATAATGTTCCTTCTCAAAATTTAATTTTAGAATGAAATCCTGGAAATATATGATATATTTAAGTATTTGATAATATTTTAAATGATTTTTGAGTGTATAAATTTTGTATTAATATTTAAGAACTTATTAAAAAATATAATTATAATTAATTGCTGTTTTATTTAAGTATTTTAAATAGGTTAGTATTTCTATTGAAATACATTTAAAAAGTATGTTGTATAGGCACTGCTGCTATAATTCTCGACAATGCGTTGATACGTATGTATTTAATATTATATACAAAAATATACGAAATATATTGTATAAATTATATGTTAGGTTAATGGGTATATAATATTCAGAATAGTGACGTTTTTATTATGGCCTTATAGAATGAATATAACAAATTTATACTCAATTTTTAATATCTATTTATAAATATAGTGTCTATGTGTGTTGTTATTTTCGTGAACCAATAAACGATTGGTTTTGGTATTAAAAACAGTATATTCTATATTTTTATGTACTTAAGGTCTCTTTGTGTGATTATTATGTACCTATCTCATGTTATAATAATATGAAATTACTAAGAAACAAGAGTTTGCACACAACAAAATGCTATTATGTTACCTTGACAGTTTCACGAGTCGTTTGTGCACATTCTCATCTTACATATTTTGTTAACTCGGGTATGACCTTTTCCTTTGTGTAAACGATTACCTAAACTCTAAAGCATAGACTTTAATACACATATATGTTTATAGTGTACCTACTACCTAATTATCAACTACATAATATTATTATCTATGATGTACACCTAGGTATCCAACCAAAATTAAATTTTTAAGTTCCTACAGTCAAAATTATACTATAAGTTCTAAATTCAAATTATATAGAATGATTTTACAAAATAAATGTATACATTCATTTCAGGTATACACTGCACAATTAATACCTTTGTTCATTTGTTTCTTAATTCTATTAGTGTTTAAATCTACTTACTTTATTTACATGGCAACATAGAAAGTTTCATAAATCACTATAATACAAGTTATGCCTCGTTGAGTGATATTTCCATTTTGTGAAGTATATAATGACGATCTGATCAATTACTAAACAATTTATAATTTTTGGTAGAATTGATTAATATAGGTTCAATGTGTGTAGGCAATTGTAAATGTTGTTATATATTAATATTTTATTAATTAATAAATTAATAATTGTAGGTACTCTTCACAATAAATATGGTTTAATAAATTATGTAATTTATATAGTGATTATTGCATTTAATAATTACTCACACTCATTTGGTAGGAAGACACATTAATATTATTAATATCGATTTTATTGATTATATTATAGTAGTTAAATACATTTATGATTAATCTGCGCGGAAAAAACCACAACTAACTATGTATAATGTTTACATAAAATTTATAAATTTAAAATATAATTAACTAATAAAATTTAAAAAATTAAAACAACGTGTTTGATGAAAACATTCATAATAATTATTCACATTGTCCAGGAATATAATAGTTTTTATATAATATTAAAACTAACTACAAATACGCTTAGCTCATGGCCAAAACAGTTTAATATACTTTCTACGAATAGAAATTATTAAAATCATAGACTTTATAATACAACAAAAAGAAGAAGGAAGACATTTACAATATTTTATGGTAGAAATCGTCTACTGATCTAATATTTATAAGATGAAAAAAATATATAATATAATATACGTAAAAGACGTATATTAATAAGTTGTTAACTACAAATTACAATAATGTATAAATACATTTTTATACATTGTACGACGATATATATTTACTATTAAACTTATAATTTTATTTAGCGTTTATCGAGTCATAAATCAAATCACATTTACAACACGCAAACTTTTGGACAAAAATATAAAAGTATTTTTACTATATTATGGAAATTGAGTTAACGACTGTATGTTATATTATTGTAATACGTATAATTCAATAACGTGCAAACGACTAGTTTTTTTATTTCATACTACATGACTGAAATGGTAATTAATACAACAATAATATCGTTATTAATTGATTACCATGAATATTTTTTGATTTTTATTAATCAAGACTAGTGCAGTTATAGTTAATAGTTGTAATAGTAACTATTATTTTCTTGTCAAGTATTCCAAACATAATATATATATATATATAATCTAAATTTTAAACTATTAAAACATTAATTAGCAAATTGTTAAGCTTAAGAGTAGGTTTTAGTAGAAAATATAATATTGTTTGTTCTATTGTGTCTTGTAAGCGGCATTGGTTTTGTTTTACACACATCAATTTTATTTTACAAATTATGAAAATAATCCATCGTACTTCTTTTCATATGGTCAATAATTACAAAATATAGCACATCATTTAATACAGATAATATTAATATCATAAATAATTTATTTTACTACTAGATAATATGGGTTCATTACTTACCATGCAATAAAGAAATCAAGTCAGTAAATACTAAATATAATAATATGGTTTATAATGACTTATAACTAGTTATTATTATTTTTTTTTTTTTATAAACGCCAATATAATATTATGGTATTACACGAAAATGCTTTATATAGTATGTATCGATAATTGCTTAACATTTGCATTATTATAACATAATATTACAACACATTTATTTTTTACGCAAACTTAATTTAAATACGACAAGACGATAATATTATTACGACAATAGTACGCGAAATGTACAGTCTATGTATTAACGACAAAAACAAAACCGACCGACTTTGCCGTGGATATACGTTATTATCATAAACTGCTGAATAGTTAATTTGATGGGTGTTATTGGGGTAATGACCATTAATGGGTTGCTAAAAAATTGGCATAAGTCGAGACGAATCTAACGCTAGTTGCATAATTTAATATGTGCACATTATAGACTATAGCTGTATACGGAATCATAGATCATCGAAATATTGTGTAATAATCGTAATAAAACAGAGTAAGGATAAGTATGCAGTATACCGTACATAATATTTATACATACATTTGTGTTATGTATAATATATAAACATATGACAATGATGTTCAATATATGGAAAAAAATAATAAATTCCATTTACAAACGATCGGTGTCGTACGAAAAACAATAATATTTTTATTACGAGTATTTGAGTATTTATTTTAATATATTTTTTACGTTTTGTCTTGGGTGCGTTTTTTGTTTTTTTTTTTAAATTTTTTTTCCAGTGACTCTACCGATGATTACAGCGACAATAATAAAAAAAACGATCAAGAAAATACGAATGAATACAATATTAACATAATACTATCGCGTTTATTATGCGACGACGTCACGACAGTAATTTACACAATATTAGGCGACGTCGTACGACAATAAAACATAATAATATGCGCGCTTGCTTACATAGGGATATTGTAAAATAATTACACTCGTGCGGATAACGGGTATTTAGTGCCTCTGCATGAACGATATTGTAATATGCGATTGGCGTGGGTACTATAAACGACGAGAACAATAATATTATAATATTATTATTCTGTTACAGCACAAATACCGTAATATTATAACGTAGTGTCCCCCGACGTTTATCATGCGCGCGCACATGTGTGTGTATGTGTGTGTGTGTGTGTGTGTGTGTGTGTGTGTGTGTGTGTGTGTGTG